GTTGTCAAGTGGCCCCTGTCGCTGATTATCAACAGGTGAGTGCGGGTCCCTCTGGGCGCCACCTCCTCTGCATCCCCTTGTGCCCGGTGGGGCTCCCCGGCTGCCTGGAGTGACACGGTCGCTGGGCTGGGCCGCTGCCGGCACCCTGAGCCTCGCTGACAGTGGCCAGTACCAGCACCCGCCAGTGTCACACTTCCCCTGCAGGAAGGCCCTGACCCGCTACCAGATGCTCTTCCGGCACCTCTTCTACTGCAAGCACGTGGAGCGGCGGCTGTGCAGCGTGTGGCTCAGCAACAAGGCTGCCAAGCAGCACTCCCCACACAGCGCCCAGGGGTGCGTTTGCGCTCGTTCCTTAGCACGGCTTGGGCACACTTTATGGAGCCACTGTGTCGCGTGGCCGTGCTGGGCTGTCACCAACCACAGGGGACGCTGGCTCGGCCTTGTAGGCGGCCAGGTCTGAGCGAGAGCCCTTGGAGGACCTTTGGCTGTGGCCGACCCCGACGTGCCTGCAGCACTCTGCGTGCTGGGCCGTGACCTCATGTGTCACCCGGGCCTGTGTCTGAGCCACTGGGGAATTCTCGGGCACCCCAGATGCTGCTCTGACACCTCCTCACTCTTGGGGGACGGCTCATCTGCCACCTTTGCGCTCGCCATGGGGGGCAGGGTTCTCAGGCACCCTGGGTGCCGCTCTGACGCCTTCCCATCTGCCCAGGTTCGCTGGCGCCTTCACACTGCGGCAGCGGATGCTGAACTTCGTCCAGAATATCCAGTGCTACATGATGTTTGAGGTGCTGGAGCCAACCTGGCATGTGCTCGAGAAAAACCTGAAATCCGTGAGTTTTCACTGGATGTGCAGTCCAGGATGTGTTTCGGGGGGAGGGGGGGCAGGTGACAGGGCAGTGACTGCCCCTCTGAACCCCCTTGCAGAGGCGGCTTGCAGCCTCTTTAGGAGGAAGCCATGCCTTCTGCAGAGACTTGATGAGGGAGTGTGGGTGAGTGTGATTGTGGGCGTGGGGGTTACTCCCACCTGCTGCCCCAGCACCCAGTGCAGCACCTGGCCCTCTGATGGAGCTTTGAGCCCCTCAGAGCTGGGGGGTGGCTGGCAACCCCCCCAGCACATCCTCAGCCTCTGGGGCCTCTCAGCCAGAAATCTCAACTGGCCCAAGTTCCAGAAGCAGGAAGTGCCCAGTTGCAGTGTTTGTTTTCTTCCTGATTCCTGTCTGTGGGACTCAAAACTTTGGACCTCGAGGGCCTGTTCAGTGTTACTCTTACTAGTACAGTGCAGTTTCCCCCAAAAGACTACAGGGCATTAAACAAGGCAAATAGCAGGGTGTGCGAGGCAGTCGGGGCTGTCCCTGCCACAAAGTGAGGAAGGTGGCGCCCTGTCCCCAGGCCTCCAACATTGACGACGTGCTGGGGCACCACACCAGCTTCCTGGACACCTGCCTGAAGGACTGCATGCTCACCAACCCCGAGCTGCTCAAGGTCTTCTCCAAGCTCATGTCCGTGTGCGTCATGTTCACCAACTGCATGCAGGTGCGCGTCCGCCCGAGCCCACCAGCTGGCTGCAGGGTCTGGCCTGGCCTTTCTCTGAACACCTTGCACATCCTTTTGTCAACTTGAGCTACTTCATTCAGTGTTTATTGGGCACCTGTCACAAGCAGTTTCCCAAAAGCTGCCATGCAGGAAATCAGCATCAGACAGCAGGAAGGGTGACCTGGGGGCGTCTGAGCCAGTGGGCTAGAGGGAAAGCGTGGGGGTGGGGGAGCCTGCGGCCTCATGGCCGGTGATGGGAGGAGCATGTGAACCCGATTCTGTAGACATTTCGGAGCCACACTGCGTTGCAGATGGAAACACCATGTAAAGAAACTGTTCCGAAAACTCAGTCCCTAAGCCCTGGATGGCAGACTGGAAATGGTGTCAAGCCCATCCGTGGCCCTCCGTCCATCGGCCACAGAGCGTTTCGCTGGGGGCGACTTGGTTTTAACAAGTGTTCTTCCTACCCCAAGAGGTTTACGCAGAGCATGAAATTAGATGGTGAGCTGGGTCGCCCGGCGCTGGAGCACGGCACCATGCTGGGGCCACCCACTGAGGCTGAGCGGGCTGAGGAGCGCGCCCGGAAGGAGCGGACCAGGAAGGTGCGTGGCCGGGCTGCTGGGGTGCAGGCCCTTCCGCTTTCCTGGGAGAGCTGACGGTGCCAGGATTCCAACACTTAAAACCAAACCTGCAGGGCCAGCTGAATGGCTCAGTTGGTTAAGAGCTCGCTCAAGAGTTTGAGCTCTGAGCAACAGCGGTTCGAGTCCCGGCCCGAGCTGAGCAGCCAACAGGTAGCAGGATGGCTAAGCTAAAAAAAAAAAAACACCAAACCTGCTACCACCCTTTTGTTTGATTAAAAAACAACAGGCTTTAAATTACAGTATTTCCCCATGTATAAGATGCACCCTTTTTCGAAAAATTTGGGGTCTAAAAACTGTGTGCATCTTATACAGTGGTTGTAGGTTTTTTACTTGCATTTCCCGCTTTTTTCGTGCTTGTTTTTGCACTCATACAACCACTGTATAAGACACACCCAGTTTTTAGACCCCAAATTTTTCGGAAAAGGTGCGTCTTATACATGGGGAAATACAGTAGGTTTCAAACACAAACCTCAGAAATCTCCTTCCTGCCTCACCTGAATCTCAGCCCTGGCTGTGCTCCTCAGGGCGAGGCCACGCTTACCTGTAGGGCGGGGGTTGCGTTCAGGGCTGAGCCAGGGGATGTGCGCCCTTGGCCCTGATTAGAGTCCATCCTTAACTGGACAGTCAAGCTCTGCGGGTGCAGGCATTTGAGGGGTGGGGATTGGGTGGGCACCAGCTGACAAGCGCAAGTGCGTCTCTGTCCTGTGGTCTCAGGAATGTTTATGCCTTAACTTTATACCTTGTATCACTTGAAAGCTTCCTGAAACCCATTTATCTATTTAAAAAAGAAGAAGGGAGGGAAAGGCAAGCTGGGCTGCTGGAGAGCAAAGCCAGGCGCAACATCCTGCCAGGCTCACAGCGCCCCACACTGCCTTCCAGCACCTGGCCGAGCATGTGGACACGCCTCAGCTGGCCTCCAGCTTCGAGGCCACCATCAGTAAGTTTGATAAGAACTTCTCAGCCCATCTGCTTGACCTCCTGGCCCGCCTGAGCATCTACAGCACCAGTGACTGTGAGCACGGCATGGCCAGCGTCATCTCCAGGTGGGTGTGGAAGCTGTGCTGTCACGTGTGTCCCTGTCCCCTTGTGCCTGTGAGGCCGAGGCTCCCTTGCTGGCTCCCTGCCCTGCTGCCATCTCAATTTCACCCCCATGAGGCTGGGTCTGCTCAGGCACAAGGGCATCTGTCCAGGGCCTCTTTATGCTGGCCACTCATCACTCTGAAGTGACCCCTGCACGTGTGTTCCCAGGTGTGTGTCCCCTGGTGCGTGTGTCAGGCCGCCCCTGCAGCGCCCCCCACCCTTGGTTCCTGTCCGTGGACCAGGCCTGGGTCAGCCTCACTCACTGCTGTTCTCCGAGCCCAGACTCTGGAAGAGCCTCCTCTGGCCCCTGAGCCCTGGGTGGTACACAGCAGCATCACCCCCATTTTTAGATGAGCAGTGAGGAGGCGGCTCGGGCCAGCAGTGCTGTCCCACCCCCTGGCGCTGCCTGGGTGATGTCGGTGGGCCAGGAGGGCCCTGGGAGCACAGTGCCATCAAGGCAGTGCTTACTGAACCTGCCGGGTGTGGGCACTTGGGGCTGGCAACACCTCCCATGTCACCACCCCCGTGGGTGTGATGGTGCGTTCCTGGGGTGCATGCCCCGTGACTGGTGGCCAGAGTGCAGGTCCCACGGGAGCTGACGGTATCCTTGGTGCCTCATGGGGAGGACTGCACAGAAGCAGTGAGGACAGACCTGCGTGGTGGCTACCGGGCAGGTGGGCAGGTGGGTGGGATTGTGGCTCTGGGGCTGGCCAGTCCCCGCAGTGCCCTGGACACCTTGCTCCTCTGAGGGGAAGCAGTGGGTCTGCCAGGCCCAGCTTCTCATGAGGAGGGACTGTCCTCACCCCCTGGGCAGGTGCCACCACAGGCATCCGGATGTCCTGGGGTTTCAGAGGTACCCCCAGCCTTGGGGTCGCTGCTGCTGAGCCAGGCTGGATGACAGGAGAGCCCAGGGCCCGGGGCTGGGAGAAGGGAGACCAGTGCTCTGGACACAGTTCCTCCTAACCATCTGGTTAGAGGATTTGGTTGTCTTGTTTTCAGATTTGTATGTTTATTCCCATGTCAGTATTGCTTGAACTGGTGAAGGCTGTGGGAAGAGGCTCGTGTGTGCACCTGTGCGTGCATGTGCTGGTGGCTTAAGTGCCCCTTGCGCTCAGTGCAGAGCTGACCCCTCCCCATGGGTTGGGAGTGGGGTCCCAGTGTGACCTCCCCAGGGACAGCACCCCTGCAGGAGGAACCCCAGCCTCGTCCCCACCCTGCAGGCTCGACTTCAACGGCTTCTACGCGGAGCGCCTGGAGCGCCTATCTGCAGAGAGGAGCCAGAAGGCAGTCCCCCAAGTGCCCACCCCACGCGGACCCCCCGCACTAGCACCCAGGGTCCCCATCACTGCCCAGTGAGGCCCTTGGGGCCCGCCACAAAGGAATAAAGAGTGTGCTGGTTGCTGCGGACAGCTGAGTACCAGGTTTCCAATCAGACTTCCCTGAAATGCTGTCTGTGTCAGCGTCTGTAAACCTGAACGGCGCCCGCACGGACCCCTTTTCTCAGGGTCGGTTTCTCCTCGCAGCAGCTGCCCCGACCACAGTGCATCTCCACAGTGAGCTGACCTGTGAGCTCTCTTAAAGGGAGCAGGAGCACTTTTTTGGCTTTTGATTTTTGGCCTCAAATAAAGACAAACTGAAAATGGCATTTGCTCAACATCAAGGTAATTGCCAAGATGCTGTGTGGGGCATCAGACCCTGCCTGCCGTCCGCACCTGGTCCTGGCTGCAGATGGGCTGGGGTTTGCTCCTGGCACTAGGTGGCAGCAGCTCCCCGTCCTACAGTTCAGTGGTCGAGGGTGGGGGGGGGGGGGGTCAGGAGGCACTCCCAGTGAAGGGCCTCAGGCTGGCTGAGGCCTCTGGCCTGGTAGGACTGGGAGCCCTGCTCCACAGATCTGTGGCTTCCGCCTCCACAGTCACCTGCCTTCCCAGTAAGGCAGTAGGTGACACCAGTCCTAGGTGTGACACTCAGGAACAGCTCCATGCCAGTGTGCTGGTGCTCCCAGACAAGCTGCCCCTTCCTGCTGGATTTCATGCGTGTCATTTTTGAAATTCAGTTCCAACCACCTGCTCCAGGTGGCATTGGCAGATGAGAACCAGAAGTGGCCAGCGCACAGACAGGGTCCCCTGGGGCCTGGGTGTCTCAGCTCAGCTGCTGCCTTGCAGGACTGGGCAAACCATAGGCTGACTGCCCCCTTTCTGATCTGCAGTGTGTACAGCTGTTACCTGTGAGCAGACAGGCTTTTCTGCCAACCCAGGTTGTCAGTCACGCTGTGGGTGAAGCCTGAGCCGAGGAAGCTGCTGGCTTTCATTGGGGGGGCCCTCCTGCATGACCCCCGAGGCCAGAAACCCTGCCACCCACACCTCCAGGCTGCGGGTGGTGAGGTGGGGTAGCGTCCAGCAGCGCCTGCCCCAGGGTTGCTGGGGGTGAGTTGGGTGTGTCCTGTGGGCTGCCTGGGGGTTCCTGCATCATAGGGGCTCTGGGCCTGCGGTGGTCCTAGCTGCTAATTGAGGTCCCGGCCGGTGAGCTGCACCGGGATCTGGTCAGCTCTGGGGCTGCCCGTTCACAGCACCCTGTTTTTGCCTGTGCAGGACACACCGCTGTTGGACTTTCGCTGTCAAATGACTTGGATGTAAGACTAAGGAACAAGTAAAACTGCCCGGAGGGCTTGGGGTTGCGTGGCACGTCTATGATACCAAGTCATGCATAGGCTCGGCCAGAACCCCTCACAGGCCAGCACCCCACCCCACCCCGCCAGGAGCCCCACCATGGACCCATGCCTAGCCGCTGCACCCACACTGCTGGCTGCAGCCAGGGTTTGGGGTGCTGGCTGTCACCCCCAAGTTCCTGCCTTTTCTTTCTTGTTATGCCATTCACTTTGGGGAAAATCATGTCCACTGAACTTGGACTTCTGGTCCGGAATCGCCTGTGGTGTCCACCACACCCTCTCACCTGGCCTCCAGACATCCCCGGAAGGGAGTCAGGGATGTGGCTCAGGCCCCACAGGCTGCGCAGGGCAAGCCCACTTGGCTCAGCCACAGGAGGCCTGGCTCCCAAGGTGAAGGATGATGTCAGCCCACCGAGGGCAGAAAGCAGGGAGAGGTACCAGTGGGGAGTTGCAGGCCGCGGGGCCTGGGACCTCATGGACAAACGCGCTGGGGGGTGCCCTCTGCACACAGCAGGATCTGTGGCCAGTTCCCCAGGAAGCCGGAGGGCACGTCCCACCTCCCGACCCCTCCCCCCACAGCATGTCCCAAGTCACTTCCTCTCCAAGGCGCCTGGCCAGCCACCTCCCCCCTTGCGGCGCAGCTTCATCTTCTCTCCTACACGGAGGGGAGGCTGAAATGCAGGGAGGGGTTCGAATGGGCCCGTGCGCCTCCCTCAGGTCATTCATTCAGCCCACATGTATAAAGCGCACATGGTCCAGGAGACCCCAGGGCACCAGAAGGAGCCCCAGGAACCCCGAGGAGCAACCCGACCAGGGAGAGGCTACAAGGGGAGGGCGGGGCGCGCACCCCAAGGTGTCCCAGACCCCGCCCCTCCCCGCGTCCCGGGCCAATTGGGGGGTGAGGGGGTGGCCTGGGCGGGGCGCTTGGGAAAGTCGAGCGCCAGGACTAGACAGAGCGCGCAGAGCCGCGCTCCCACACGCACTGCGCCCTCGGACCCCGGGTTCCCAGATCCTCGATCGCACCCCCAGACTGCGAATCTCAGACCCACATCCGCGCCTCCGGACCCCAGGTCCCTGGATCCCTGTCCGTGCCCCCAGACTCCTAACCGCAGATCCCCATCCGCGCCGGGCCATGCGCCGCCTCCGGCTCTGGCTGCTGGGCGCGCTGTGGCTGCAGGGTGAGTGCTGGGGGTCGGGCTCGGGCCAAGCCCAGCCCGGCGCGGGATGGCCACCTGGGGGTCACTCATCGGGGAGGGCCCCCCGCTGCGGACAGACTGACCTTCAAAAGGGAACAGAGAAAACGGCGCCTACGGCGTTTCCAGGGCTCCTACTCGAAACGGGCTGGGACAGAGCAGGGCGCAGGACCGGAGCTCCGAGATCCTCCCTGGGTCTTGGGTTGATCGCCCACCCCCACCAGGAGCCCCCAGGCGGGCAGGGAAGGGAGGACGGAGGAGCAGTGACTGGAGCTGAGGGCTGGTAGTCCAGCCACAAGGGGGTCCCGCCTCCCGCCTGAGGAGGACCGAGCTCCAACTGCCCCCCACCTCGGGCTGGGTCCCTGCTGTCTATTGTCCGGTACGCGCATGCTTTGAGATCCCGCATGAGTGCACACTGGCGGCCTAGGCAGCTCCCCAGTTAGATGCGGTTATGTGATTAGTTGAGATGGAAAGTCTGGCCAGGCCTTTCCCCCACCCCAGGGCGTGCGCGCGCGCGTCTAGGCTCCGGGGAGGGGGAAAGGGCCATCTAGGAGCAGGTCGGGGGGCTCCTGGAAGGGCTGGCTCGTGGAAGGGTCTGCTGGCCCCACACAGGGCAGGTGTCCTGTGGTATTTTTAATGCTAGGTCTCTAGAGTCTGGTCCCAGCAGCGTCCTACCAGGGCAGAAGGGTGGGTGCCCTGCACACCTGCTGACCCCTCCCTCCCGCAGTGGTCACCCCTCGTGGCCCCCTGCCCCATGTGGAGCAGTACGAGGTGGTGTGGCCCCAGCGCCTGCCAGGACCCCGCACCCGCCGAGCCCTGCCCTCCCACTTGGTAAGTGTGGTCCAGAAGCTGGCTTGGGGGGCCCCAACCTGGCCCCTCTGAGCTGGTTTGTTAAAGGATTGTACCTCCTCTATGTCCAGCCAGTTGTGAGGGGCCATCGTGGTGGCCGAGGCCCAGGTGGGCTGGGTGTCTGTTCCTGTGGGGCTTCCTCCTCCCCCCCCCCAGCCTCACCTTCCTGCATCCGGCCTCGCCCTGTGGGCGGGGCCACCGGCTGCCCTGCCCTGCCCTGGGGATGGCCCCTGTCTTCCTTCCAGCAGCCTTTCTGGCCCCGGCCACTCCCTAGTCTCACTCAAATTCCTGCCTGGCCAGCGGGGGAGATAGCTCACCTGGAGCCTGCTGCGTTTCATGTTTGCTGTGACACACCTTTTTTGGGCTTTAGGGGCTGGGCTGGGATTCCCCACAGCCGCCTGGGGGCAGTTCTGAAACCCACGTGGGTGTGTGCACATGCACACGTGTCCTATCAGGGAAGAGCCACGTCCTGGGCTCGGTGCCCCCCTAGGCCTTCATCCCACCCGCTGGCAAGGTGCTTACTATCCCAGGGGTCAGCAGGGCAGAGAGGGGCAGGGCCTCTTGTGGGAAGGGCGCCAGGCCCCCTTGCTCCTTTGCTGCCTGTTGGGTCATGTGCCCCCTCTCCTTGCTTTCTGGGGAAGGAATGTCACCATCATGGTCCTTGTGTGGACAGATGGGGAAACTGAGGCCTGCCCAGGACCCCTTTAATACATCCCAGCCTGGCCCAGCACCCTTCACTAGCCTGATGCTGAGCAAACCCCAGTCCTCTGAGAGCCTTTCAGGCTGGGGCTCCCTGGCCTTGGCCGCACCCCTGCCTGGCGGTGGACCTCCCTACACCCCCAGGTTTGAGGTGGGTGTGGCCTGTGGCCAGAGCCCTCACCCAGGACCCCTCCCTTTTCCTGGCTCAGGGCCTATACCCAGACAATGTGAGTTATGTCCTGGAGGCCCGCGGGCACACCTTCACCCTGCACCTGCGGAAGAACAGGTGAGCAGGGGCCTGAGCCCTCCCCCAGCCACCTGTGTCCTGGGCATCCAGCTCCCTGGCCCGACCTCTTCATGCCAGACTCGGCTTCAGAGGGGAGGCAGGGGAGGCCCAGGGCGCCACAGTGGTTCAAAATTTTCCAGGGACCTGGTGCGTTCGGGCTACACGGAGACCTACACGGCCGCTAATGGCTCTCAGGTGACGGAACAGCTGCAGAAGCAGGTAGGGACCCGGGCAGCCCTTCCTGGGGGTGGCTGTAGGCACCGGGAACGGGACTGCAAAGCTGTCATGCCCACCTCCCGCAGGATCACTGCTTCTACCAGGGCCATGTGGAGGGCCACCCTCACTCTGCCGCCAGCCTCAGCACCTGTGACGGCCTCAGGTGGGTGCTGCAGACCTGGGCAGGGCACGCCTCACCTTCCAGAGAAGTGAATGGAGGCTAAGAAGAAAGGGCCACGCCTGGGGACCCCTTTCTGCACCTGGGTGTCTGGGTTCCTCTTAGAAGTTACAGGCTCCCTGACCTGCGAGGCTCCCACTGGGCGTGGGACACTGTCCCCAGCATGTCCCACTACAGAGTGGGAGCCTTGTACCTTCCAGGCCTTCTGTTCCTCCCCATGGGGCACTGATTCCGAGCCCCCTGCTCCCGCCTACCCTCAGGGGCTTCTTCCGGGCGGGTGAGGCCATCCACCTGATTGAGCCCCTGCACGGAGGCAGTGAAGGGGGGCAGCATGCACTCTACCAGGCCCAGCACCTGCGGCAGAAGGTGGGGACCTGCGGGGTCAGCAACGCCAGCCTGGAGAGCATCCTGGGCCCCCGGACCTCGGCAGCCATCAGGCCCCGGGTGAGGGGTCCCCTCCCAGCTTCATCCCTGCCCCCTAGACTCCCCATGTACAAGCTCAGGGCCAGTGGGTCTGGATCTGCCCAGCAGCTGCAGACACAGCTTCTTGGTCTGTGCTCGTGTCTCCTGGACAGGCCCCCCAACCCTGAGTTGCAGGGCCGGGCGCCAGCTCCCGGGCCCTGAAAGATGGGCAGTGTGTGGAGACTAGGCCGAGGCCAGGAGGTCCGTGGCTGGGGCACTGACTAGCTTCTTATTGCTGCTTTACAGAACCGGCCGCTGTCCCAAGAGACCCGCTACGTAGAGCTGTATGTGGTCACCGACAGGACATTGGTGCGGGGACCGACGGAGGCGTGGCCGAGGGCGTGGCGGGGGCGTGGCGGGGCGGAGCCGAGGCTGCATGCTGAGGGTCTGCTGTCTTCCAGTTCCGGCAGCAGGGGAGCAGAGAGGCTGTGCGCAAGCGGGTGCTGGAGGTGGTGAACCACGTGGACAAGGTGGGGGCTGCTACCACGGTGGGGGGTGGGGGCTCTAGGGGCTGCCAGGCCTGCTGACAGCACAGATGCCTTCCAGACCAGGCATCTCCCAGCCCTATATAGAAACCCTGATTGAGGAGGTGGGGTGGGGGCGCCTAGAGAGGGGGTGTCAGCAGGTGAGGAGGGAGCTGGGACTCCGCCCAGCGCTCAGCCTGGTACCATGGACAATGGATGCGCCTCATAGCCCAGGCTGTGCCCGCTCTGGGGTGAGCCTCTGGCCTTACTGTCCAGAGCCTGACCCATGGGATACCTGTCCTCTCACAGCTTTATCAGGAACTCAAGTTCCGCGTGGTCCTGGTGGGCCTGGACATCTGGAACCAAGAGGACAAGATCCACATCAGCTCCGAGGCCAGCACCACACTGGACAACTTCCTGGCCTGGCGGGAGCGAAGCCTTGTGGGGCGGCACCCTCATGACAACGCGCAGCTTATCACGTGAGTGGGTGGCTGGCACACCGCCTGGCCGTCGCCAGGAAGGGCTGCGCGGGGATGCGGCGGCTTCCAGGGTGCCACCTGCAGACACTGCTCTTGTTTCCAGTGGGGTTGACTTCACCGGGAACACCGTGGGACTGGCCAAGGTGTCCGCCATGTGCTCCCAGGACTCGGGGGCTGTGAACCAGGTGCGGGGGCACGTGCTTGCTTTGCGCGTGGGCTGGAGCTGCAGCTGGGTGGGGAGCCAAGCTTGGAGCTGAGCTGGGCACGTGAGGGGGTGACCTCGGGACTCCGGTCCACCTGCTGGTTCCCAAGCTGTCCCCATGAATGCCTGAATGGCTGCCTCCATGGGAGGATACATTGATGCTTTTATGTTTTAAGAAGTGTTGCTGCAGGAAGGCCTTGCTTGGGGGAGTTGAGGGCCGAGGGCGGCAGGAGGACGCCACCGGCCACACAGCCTCTCCCTGCAGGACCACAGCCACAGCCCCATCGGTGTGGCGTGCACCATGGCCCACGAGATGGGCCACAACCTGGGCATGGACCATGACGAGGAAGTCCACGGCTGCTACTGCCCTGTGCCTCAAAACAGCGGCGGCTGTATCATGGCGGCCAAAATTGGGTGAGGCTTGTCCCAGTTCAGCCTGACTGTGGGCTACCTGCAGAGTGGGCACCCTGCGGGGTAAGGGGCCTGCATACCTGCCCTCCCCCTGATGGGGCACAGCAACTCCCCCTCCCCCCAGTTCTGCATTCCCCAGGAGGTTCAGCCAGTGCAGCCGGGCCGACCTGGAAACGTTCGTAGAAAAGCCCTATATAACCTGCATGGCGAACGCCCCAGACCTCGACCGCCTGGTGGGCGGCCCCGTGTGTGGGAACGGCTTCGTGGAGCGTGGGGAGCAGTGTGACTGCGGCCAGCCCCAGGTACAGGGCCCGGCACCTGCTGCCACCCTCCGTCCTCCACCAGCACAGGGGTGCCATGGGTCTCCGTCCCGCAGGTTAGGACATCCGTTCCTGAACCAGCAGGCACCCTGCATGCCCACCTGTCATCTGATACCTGCAATGAGCTGTAGGGGACCCAAGGGAGGGAGCAACAAAAGCCTGCTCGTGGGAAGGCCCCGCCCAAGGGGCCGGCCATGGAGGGTGTGGGGCCCCGGGGTCTGACCCGGCGTGTAGCCTGCCGAGCCCCTCCCCATTGCCCCCTGCTCCCCAGGACTGTCAGAACCGCTGCTGCAATGCCACCACCTGCCGGCTGCTTGAGGGGGCCGAGTGTGCCCATGGCACCTGCTGTCATGAATGCAGGGTGAGCATGGGGCTCCCAGATGCCCCTCCTGTGCCCAACGTCAGCGGGTGGGAAGGGGCCCCGGGGACATGGGAGGCAAAGCAGCAGGAGTGGGCCTGCTTTGGCGCCTCCTGTCCCCTCGGGTGAGCTTCACTGTGCTGGGCCAGGTGAAGCCGGCTGGCACGCTGTGCCGTGCCGCGAAGGATGTGTGTGACCTGGAGGAGTACTGCGATGGCCGGCAGCCGGCGTGCCCAGAGGACGCCTTCCAGGAGAACGGCACCCCTTGCCTGGGGGGTTATTGCTACGACGGGACCTGCCCTACGCTGGCCCAGAGATGCCAGGATCTGTGGGGGCCAGGTGAGGTGGGCAGGAGACCCACAGGCCTGCAGGGTGGCCTCGGGTCCCGAGCCAGACGACTGACTGCCTCTGGCCCACAGGCACACGGGCTGCCGTGGAGACGTGCTACAGCTATAGCATCTCATCGGACTGCAGCAGCCGGATGCCCCTTGGCTCCCGCAGGTGATTGTCAATCCACAGCCTGACTGCCTGGCTCCAGGGCATAGGGCTGCCCAAGAGAGTCCTCTGTGTAGAGGAGTCGGGCCTCAGGCGTCTGTCCGGGGACACACCCCGCTTTCCAGGACCCCCAGGCCTGAACATGCTGCCACTGCAGCTGGGGGTGTGGACGCCCTGTCAGTGGACCCCACAGCCTGTCCAGGGGTACTGGGCCTCATCTCCTGGCCGCTCCCTGCGTCCCCTCTGAGCACGATCAGCGTGCACGGAGCAGGAGACCTGGCTGAGCTGGCAACACAGCAAGTCCCTCTGTCCGTAGCGTTAACAGATGCGGCGTCCTGTTCTGCCAGGGTGGGCAGAAGCCCCGAGAGCGATCCGCCTGCACGCTCACCTCCTCCTCAGCTGTCTGCCAGGCTCTTGTCCTGAGTGGGGGCTCTGGGTTCGAGCCGGTGCTCGAAGGCACCAAGTGCGGCGAGGAAAGGGTGAGTGCGCGCACGTCCACCGGACGCAGCTCAGGCTCCCGAGCGTCGGGGCCGGCCACAAGCCCGGACGCGCCCCTAAGGGGGTCAGGCTGCTGGGCCGCCAGGTCCCGGACGGGTATCCCACCCTGCGAGCAGGGCAGTGCGGGGTGGACCCCTCTGTTCTCAGCAGAAACTTGGAGGTGCAGGGGGAGGCGCCAGGAGAGCCTGCTCTCGGCTCACGTGGTCTGAGGACCTCTCCATTCTGCAAGTCCCCACAGGGGACGTCTGGGGCCAGTCCTCTGTGGCCCTGGCGGCATTGTGGGCTGAGTGACCACCACCTGCCCCCTGAAAGCCCCCCCTGCAGGTTTTGGGTCAGCTTTGGCTGACAGGCATGGGGGCAGTGGTGGAGGCAGCTACCTAAGGGGACCCCCTGCCCTCCAGGTTTGCTGGAAAGGACTGTGCGAGGACCTCCGAGTTTACAGAGCCGAAAACTGCTCCGCCAAGTGCAGCGGGCATGGGGTACGTGGCCTTGGGGTGATGACGGAGACTTGTAGGACAAACCTTGGTGGACAGAGGGCAGGGCTAGTGCCCCAGGGACGCACCCCATGTGTGACCTGAGGCCCGGGCGGTCACAGTGCCACTGGATACATGGGCTGGGACGGCTCTGTGCTGAGGTGCACACTGCGCTCAGCTGTGAGTGATGCGTCTGTGACTAGGGACCGTTAGGCCACCGAGAGCTTGAAACGAATGGGAGTAGCCCTCCTGAGCCCTGTCTCGGGGATGGATGGTGGGGAGGCGGGGGGGTACCCCTTGTGCTCAGTCCCCCTCATGGCCCCGGGGAAGGGGCTGCTGCTCTGTGTGACGGAGCCCTGCACACCTGGCGTAGCAGCCAGGCTCGTGGATGAGCCCAACCTGTCCCGGTCAGGGGGTCATGGCAGAGCCCCTCGCAAGCCTGAGGCTGGGCCTCGTGACTGCTGTGCAGGTGATGCCTGGTTGTCCCCCAGGTGTGTAACCACAAGAAGGAGTGCCACTGCCAGCTGGGCTGGGCCCCACCCCACTGCACAGAGCTGCTGGCCCAAATGCACACAGGTAGGGCCCACATGCCCCTAAACCATCAAGTGTTGTTAAAAGTTCCGGCTTGTAGTCCCTGGGCCTCCTGACCCCCCAGGTCTAGGGCAGGGCCCAGGAGCCCGTGTCCCCACCTCAGCCCCACACAAGAAGGGAGGCCCTGTCCTGGGGGGAGGGGCGTGGGAGGTCACAGGACAGCACCCACCCCTGTGCCGGGTCCCAAGTCCCTCCTGGGACACCCACCCCCAGATGGTCCACAGCATGTGGCTGTGCACAGCACCACAGCCTCTGGAGCCTGGCCAGGCCATGCCTGAGTCACTGTGGGCCTGGGGCCACCAGTCACCAAGCCCTCCGACCTGTCACCAAGAGCCTGGACCACTGGTGTAACGTTACCAGGTCTCTGTGCCGAGCATTCCAGCTGGGCACTTGGCTGCAGGGAAGAGACCAGGGGTCCCAGGAAGGTCCCAGGTCCCAGGCAGCCTGTCACCCATGGACCCTCCCAGCCCCCACTGCCCACTGACGCCTGGCTTTGCATGCTCCACAGCGTCTGGGAGCCTCCCGGTGGGCGTGCTGGTGCCCGTGTTGCTCCTGGTGGTTCTGGTGCTCATCGTTGCCGGCGTGGTCATCTACTGCAAGGCCAGGAGCCCCACCCGGTGGAGGTGAGCACTGGGTGCAAAGCATCAGCGTGTGCAGCAGGCATGGCCCCCCTCGCACTACTGGGAAATGGCTGTTGTCGCTCGGGAAGGAAGAGAGCCCCCAGTTCATGTAGCGTGTCCCGGGGCCTTTGCTGCGGGCACTTGGCCTCTCACTGAGGTGGGGGGAGCAGGTGACAAGTTTTGGTGACATGAGGTGATGTGGTGAGCCCATAGAGAGAGACCCTGTCCTCCCACACCCCTGACCCCTGTCAGGTCAGCACTGGGATGACATGGGCTCAGCGAAGCTTCCCCACACGGCCTGGTGTCCTGCTGCCTGCCCTCAGCAGCGACCCTGACCCCCGTGTTGGCTGCAGCACAGCACACTTGCCCAGCGACCTCTGAGACCCACCCTCCTGGCCGATGGGGCCCAGGACACATGAGGCCACCTCTCCTTTTTGCCTGTCTATGACTGACGGACCATGTGGGAGTGGCGGGGCACTGCAGCCGAGAGGTATCCTGGTCAAGCCAGGGGACCCCCTGAGGCCAGGATGCACTGACCCGCCTTACTTTTTCTGCAGGAATTTGGTACCCAAGGCCGCCATGGGGCTCTCCAACCCCCTGTTCCATGAGGGGGGCAGCGCGCCAGCTAAGGGCGGGGCTCCGGCCCACACCGTGGGCCCCCCGGAGCCCGTCCCTACCACGCACACCAGCCAGCCTCCCAGGCCCACAGCTGCTGCAGTGACACCTAAACGGCCACCCCCTGCTGTAAGCACCAGCCGGCTCCCCAGGCCTTGGGGCAGCCGCCATGATCACCCTGGTTAGAGGCAGGAACAGGGCTCAGGGCTGCAGGTGTGAGGATCCCTGTGAACTGGTGATGGAATTGGAGTTTCCACTGGAATCGGAGTCTCGGGGCCTCACGGGGTCTGTTTGAGGCCCAGACGCCCACCACTGTAGCCCCACATGGCTTAGGGGAGGGAGCGTGAGGTCACATTCGGGCTTGGGCCCTGCCGGGTGGTGAGGCAGAGCCCCCATGCACACAAGTGGGAGGCAGGAACCTCGGGTCCTGAGCTGGGGGGACAGCTCCTGGAGGCGGCCTCCCAGTGAGGTCCAGGCTCACGGCCCTGTTTCCTGCAGCCTCCGGTCGCCATGTCCAACCTACCCTTCCCTGTTCCCATGTACACCCAGCAGGCGCCAGCCCAGGTGAGCAGCGGTGGGGGCCGTAGCCAAGCCATCTCGGTGGTGAAAAGCGGGTTCCTGCAAGTGGGGGGCCCAGGGGTTGGATTTGGTGGGCTGGGGACCCCGGGATGCACTTTCAGAAGGCTGATGGCCCAGGCTCAGTGAGGAGATTCACTGCACCCAGGGCCCGAGGTCCTGACTGCCCCTTCTCCTTCCAGCTCCGACCTGCTCCTCCCACCAAGCCCCTCCCAGAGCTGAAGCCCAGGCAGGTGAGAGGACATGGCCACTCGGCCACTCAGGAGACTCCGCGGCTGGGCCTGTGCCCTGCCTTGGCCGGGGGGCCCTCTCAGGCCAGACCCGCAGCCTCCCCGGCAACCCAAACCCCACAGAAGGGTGTGGGCTCGCCAGCACGCCCTGCCTGCCTTTGTACTTACCCCGAGCTCCTTTGTGGGTCGCAGGGTCTGGCCCTGGCAGCACTGCTGCAGGGCCTGCCGAATGGCCACCTCGGCCCTTGACGAACACTGGCCCCCGCGGGCAGTTGCCAGCTGCTTCTGGCAAACGGGGGACAGCAGGAAGGGCTGGGCTTTCTCAACACCCTGGGGTCCCCTCCTGGGACGGGCTCCACCCACCCGGTGACCACCAGTGTTGTTCACCTGTACCAGCCCCTCCCTGTAGAGCCCCGTTTTCCCTTTGTACTCGGTGTCTGGGAGATACTCTGAGAGTGAGAACCCTGTCACCCCTTAAACTGTGACCCACATGGGGTTTCCTGCAACAAACATTTACTGTGGTACTCTCTTAATAGACATTCTCTATTTTTTTCCTTTTTAACTTTTTTTTTTTAGCTGAGCCATCCTGCCACCTGTTAGCAGCTCAGCTCAGGCCGGGCATTGAACCACTGTTGCTCAGAGCTCGCACTCTTGAGCAAGCTCTTAACCAACTGAGCCACTCGGCCGGCCCCCTCTTTTTAACTTTTTGTTTCAAACTAATTTTAGACCTACAGAAAAGTTGCAAAACTGGTCTTTGGAGGGTTTGACCAGCCAGATGGAGGAGGGTGGGCTGGCAGAGAGCTTTCTGACCCAGGAGGTGGTGGCCAGCTGGCCAAGGCCACAGGGGAGTCATGCTGGAGGCCCATGGCTGGTCACTAGGGTCCTTCTGGGTAATCGGAAACTACAGATGCTGGGCCCCAGCCAGGCATCCTGGGTGCTGGGGTATGAGGCAAGGGCTGAGCACAGCGCGCTAGGCCTGGGCAGTCTCCACCTCCATCCCAGCGTCTCCCTGAGAAAGCAGAAATGAAAACAATGGCAAATTCCATAGTAACTTCTTGGCTTTTGAATTTCCAAGACTCACGTTCTGGCAATTTACGAGTTTTTCATGGGCTAGATTGGGGTGGTGTGGGGGCATTGGTTTGAGGGCAACCATGCCTGTGGATGGAGGCAGGGGCTTGGGGCACACTTCTCTGTAGAGAGCTCAGCAGAGAATCCTGCAAGCTGGTGTGGAGCACAGCAGAGCACTTGGGGAGATGGTGCCCTGGCCTGGCTGGGGACGGTTACATGGCACCATCACTATGACTATGTCTGCCTCCTCCCAGGTGGTCAAGCCAAGTTCTGCGCCTCCGATGCCACCGGTCAAGCCCAAGGCTGGAGTGGCCAACCCTGGACCCACTCAGGTGAGCCCCTCACCCAGGGCAGTGTCCACCCACAGGGGCAGTGGAACGGGCTGTCCTCCCCCAGCAGGCCAATTGGGGCACTGCCTTGAGAGGGCTGCGTTGTCATGGGAAGGAGAACTGTCAGCTGTGGGTTAATTTTATCATCTGATTGATACTCTGCCAGAGGGCCTTTCAGTGACTGCCCCTCTACTGGCTGCTAAGTTGTCTCCTGCACCTACTCATACAAAAGTCTGCATTTATGGGGTTAGCGGTGGGTATTGTGGCTGTCAGGTGTGAGTACGGTTGCCATTCAGTGTGTGCACAGGGCCATCGTATTGTCAGACGAATGAAGAATCTAACTTTTACGAAATGGAGAAGGAAGACTCAGTTGTGCTCCTTGTAGCAGCTGCTGGTTAACACCAGTTCCTTTTTCCTCCTCCAAGGGAGTTGTTGGCCCAAAGGTTGCTTTGAAACCCCCCGTCCAGAGGAGGTGATGGGCCAGCTCACAGCACCCTGGGGGCACCTGCACACTTTCCTGGAAGTTGCCTATTGTTTAAGTTGAAAAAGCCCGTCAGCCTCTGCCAGCTGATGCACACCTCTGCCCAGGCCCTTGGTGCCCGGACGGGCTTGGTCCACTGTGAGAAGTCCTAGCCGAAGAGCCTGCTCCTCATGGCCAAGGTCGCTCTCAGCATGGCAGGGCCACAGCCCAGGGCCTCTCAGCTCAGGGCTCCCGGGCTGGGCCCTCCATTGCTGTGCCTGAGCTCTCACGCACCTTGGCCACGCTTAGCTCAGTGTGTCTGCAGTCGCCAGGCTGGGGGTGCGAAGCCAGCGCCTTGTGGCGTGTGTGCATGTGTCCAGAGGGCCGCCGGCCTCCCTCAGCCTGGAGGCCAGGACCTCGCGCCACCGGCTCCCACGCCTCCCGCACTCCCGGCTGCTGCTCCAGGCAGGAGGGCCCTGCGCGTGCTGTGCCTCCCAGAAAGACACCGGGGCGTGTGCAGCGCCCCAGGGTCCGCTGAGCACAGGGTGGCGGCCCGGGATTGGATCTGGATCCGACTGCAAGCCCCTCAGTTTTCTGAGCCTGTTTCCCTGAGATTTAAGAAAGCAAGCTTGTTTTTACGATTAAATTATTGATCAAGTTCTGACTTACAAGAGATTTTTATTGGATGGATGGAAAATGGCGCACTAAACAATGTGGAATTCAACTTACAAGATTTAAGGGTCCAATGCTTCTTAAAATAAAATGTATACTGTACTTGGGCGTCAGCTTTTAACCTTCTCTGTAGATTTTGTCGTAGACCCCCACACACACAGTTAAGCCGTCCCAGTCCACCGACTGGCGGAGACGCGCGGGCGGGACCCCAGGCCGCAGCCCGCCCCCGGTCTCCCGGCAACGGCCCCGGCGCCCCGCCCCTTCCGGTCCCTGCCGCCGCCGGCCCCACCCCATCCGGCGCCGTCTCCCGGCAACCGGCCCAACAACCAGCCCGCTGCCATGCTGGGCGCCGCCCGGCCGAGGCCCCCGGCCCCGACGCCGCTGCTGCCCGGCGCGCTCCGCGGGCTCTACGCCCGGCTGGACGGGCTCCCGCTCAGCCGCTCCAAGCGCCGCCTGGCCCGGGACTTCAGCGACGGCGGTGCGGGCCCCGAGGCGGAGGCGGACCTGGCCGGCCGGACGCAGGGCTGGGGTGCCTGCGAAGTGCTCACGACCCCGGAGCAGGGCGTGAGGGGCGCCCCGGAAAGGGTGGCAGAACGCGGGAAAGGAGAGGAGGCAGAGATGGGGCCCCGGGGGGAAGAGTGTGGCAGCGGAGGGCGCCGCGCTGTGCATTCCACCCCGTCCCTGGGGAGTCCCCGACCCCAGCATTCCCTGGGGAGGATGAGGCCGACTCGGGGTCCCCTCCAGCACCTCCTCGGACCCCAGCCGGCCTCCTGCAGCCCTCTCCCCGGGGCAGCCACACCCCAGGCGCAGCGATCACCCCCCCGGACTCCTGGCCTCACCCACTCGGGGGCCATGGGACACTGATGACGTCAGGAAACGCACTCAGCTCCGCGGGCCAGGCGCACCGCGCGCCCCCGCCCCCGCCCTAGTGATGCTGGCGGAGGTCGTGAAGCACGTGCGCCCCCAGCTCGGGGACCTGCACACCTTTGTCCCCACCTGCAGCACGGACCGGAAGCTCAGCAGCGGGGCGTGCTCCACAGGCAGGCGCCGCGCCGCGGGCAGGCGGCCGCTCAGACCAGCGCAGCCCTGCAGGCCCCCCTCCCTGCGCTTGTCGGAGCCGCGCCCTCGGCCTCTGACGGCCCTCCCTCCAAGGCTGGTCCGGGTGGGCAGCCTCTCCCCTGCCCTCCTGGTCTCGGGGACGAGTTCTCAAGCCCTTTCTTGCTCTGGGTTGCCCCGACACCTGTCAGTGTCTGTTCCTGACCCCTGGGTTCTCACCATCAACCTGAGGGTTCCCCGCCGAGAGGACAACGCCGGTCACCTTGCAACCCCCTCGCTGACTGTGTCCAGCCCACGCTGGCCACACCTCTCACGCGCTCAACAGTAATTCTGGTGCCAGGCGCTGCCCCAGGTGCAGCAGACAGGGCGGTGAGGGGGCCCTGCTTCTGTGGGGCTGACAGTCTGGAGGGAAGACAAATAAGGAGAGGTGTCGCGTGTGACGGGTTCCATGAAGGACAAGGCAGGGCCCCTGAGGAAATGACAGCACAGGAAAGCGGGGTGACCTGTGGGTGCAAAAGGAGGCTTCAGGGCGGGGGGGAGGGGAATGCAGCGTCCCTGAGTCCCTGTGGGGGAGCTGAGGGGTCAGAGCTGGGTGGGGAGGGGCCCTCAGAGCCACCAAGGGTCCCTGGAGGCCACGCTGAGGACCCGGCTCCTAGCCCGGGCAGTGAAGTGGCCCTCCAGGGTAGAGGCCCGGGCAGGTTCTGATAGCACTTGTTTCCGAGGGCCATGGGGGAGGGGGAGGCGGCTGCCCTAACCCCCAGGGGCGTGAGGGTGGCAGGCAGATGTGAGGTGTCGTGGTGGTAAGACCTCGATTCTGGGCACTAGAGCAGCAGGTGGCTCAGATAGGATGACGGCTTCTGCCACAGAGAGCCCTGCCACACTCATCGAGGAGATGGTGGCCCAGGCTGGGACATGCTGGGCCTGAGTGCACAGGGCGCCGAGTGTCTTGTCACCCGTGATGAGGCGGCTGGGAACCAGATGGCCGCCAGGCCTCCACAGGTACAGGGCCAAGAAGGGTCCCCAGTCCCAGCGTCCCCCTCTGAGGAAAGCGAGGCCTGCTGCCTGGCCCCACCAGGCTCGCTGCTGAGGGCTGCACCCCTCCCACCTGCTTCCTTCACAGGAAAGTCTTTCACAAGCTGCGTTTCTGTGTCTCAGAGGCGGATATCCGAAAGGTGGTGGGCAGCACGCCTGAGGCCAGTGAGCCCATCTTGTGTGCACTTGGGGAAAAGGTGGTGGATTGCAACACGGACCCCGAGGACCCACCCAGCACAGCTGTACGTGCTGGTGCAATCGTGTGGGCAAGTCCCCTTACCTGCCAACGAGAGAGAAACCAGGACATCAATGGTGATGAAGCCCCTGGTGCCCCATCCTGGGCCATGCAAACTTCACAATGGCTCCTTCCCAGGCCTGTGCAGGCTGCACCCTCTCCCCCCACCTCTCCAGCCTGTGACTGGGAAATCCAGGGAGGCCAGTGGTGGGAGTTAGGCCCTGCTGGCTGCATCTCACTGCACAACCTCCGAAATCTTTGCAGGACCCAGGAGTCTCCAGGGGTGATGCTGCTGGACCGTGGGTGGGGCTCGCCACCCCCCCACACGCTGGTAGTATCTGAACCCCCTGAGGGGGGAGACCTAAGGGGCAGCACCAGAGGACAGGCATGTGAGACTCTCAAGCTCACACACCTGCAAGGGAGGGCAGGTGTGTTCAGGTGACACAGGCCCCAGTGAGGGCTGGTAGGCCACCGATGGGACGGAAAGGGGAGCCCGTGGCTCCTGTTAGGAGCCTTGTGGGTCGGCTGTTGTTCAATGGACACCTCCAAACGGGGGCCATTTGGTGGCATCCAAGGCTGCACTGTCACCGCAGGGCAATGTCAGCCGGGCCATGCCCACGTGGCACGCCTGTGTGGGCTCTGCACCCACCCCCACCCCACGTGCTGCTGCCGGGCCAGGCTCCTCTCAAGGCAGGTGCCTGAGCCGACGTGCACACTTGTCTCGCAGGCCTGCTGAGCCCTCCGCCCTCCAGCGTGAAGACCCTCCTGAGTCAGAGGGCTCTGGAGAAGACGGGCCCCTGTGTGTGCAGAGGGTGGGCCCCTGTCTCCCAGCCCTCTGCTGTCCCCTCCAGCCACCCTTCCCTGCCAGCCTGCAGGGTTAAAACCCAGCTGCTTGCCTTTTAGTTGGGACCCAGCCTATGGGCCCTGGGAGCATCTGGAGCCTGGGGTGCAGCAGAGGCTGGAGGAAAAGGACAGGCGCTGGCCGTTTTGTAGGAGATGGTCAAGGTACTGTGCCCGGGACACCTTCAATGTCCGCTCACCCCAGGAAGCGGAGGGGGGACTAGCTGCAGGTGTCAGGGGAGGCTCAGACCTAGTGTGGGGTGTGACGGTGGGTGGGGCAGGCAGGGTCCTTGACCAGGGAGAACCACATTTAGTTTGGTTATTTAGAAAACAATTTAACTATGGAATATTCCAAACACATCCAGAAGCAGAACTCACCACCTAGTCTCACCAGTTACCAAACCCCGGGGCCCATGTCCCAGGGGCTGCAGTCAAAGGGGTCACCACACAGATGTGCTGGACAGCAGGCCCAGGGTCATGGGGGCCAAATCAGGGAGTGGAGACACTCCCCAAGATGCCTGCCTGGTTCCAAGGGCACATGCCTGCCCCTCTACCCCTTCACCAAGCGTCTGCGGTGGTCTAGAGTTCAGGAAGAGCTCAGGCCCCTCACTGCCGTAGAAAATGCCCCCCACACCCTGTTGGAGCACAAGCTGCAACCCCAGACCCGAGGTGGGGCTTGCAGGCTGCACGGTGGGCTGAAGGTCAAAGGGGCTGGAGGAAATCGTGATGTCGGTGGTTCCTGGTTGGGTGTCCCCATCCTGTGAGCTGTTTTCTTGAGTTAGCAGGGAAGTGATATCATCGTGTGGTTTGAGTTTGCTGGAGGAGAGTAGACAGGAAGTGATGAGGCAGGCGGCTCAAAGCTGCTGTCTCAGCGAGGGCTCTCGGAGCCCCTTGCGCCCACCCTAGGTTGTCCGCATGCTAACCAAGTGAACCTTAACTGTTGTGTTTTACGAAACCCAGCGGGGAAAGCAGCTCTACCTGGCGTCAGGTGATAGTCACTGATGGGCGTGGGTACTGGGCGGGGCTGACAGGACACCCAGGGGCCTTGAGGGAACTCCTTGGTGCAGGGGTGGGCGCCTTCTGTGTTGGCCGAAATAGGAAGTGTCAGTGGGCAGCACTGAGTGTGCCCTTTGCAGCTTGTTACTGAGGAGTGGGCACTGGGGAGGGGTATGGCCAGAACACCCCTGGGTGGCCCACGCTGCCTAGGGTTAAGGAGGGGACTGTGTGCCTGGGCAGCTGGAGGGGTCTGTCCCCACTCAGCTGGCGCTGGGCTGTCCTGCTGTGGCTTCACTCTGGACATGGTGTTTGGGGCATGTGAGCCTTTCCAAATCCTACTCCTCCACTTTTCTTGCTTGCTGGAGTGTAGTGAGGTCTCTGCCTCCAGTAAGGGACGGTCTGTGACACGGCCGGCTGTCCTGATGCAGAAGGGCTGGGGAGGGTGAGGAGCTGGGCCGCTCTTACCGCACCATCGTTTTTCAGGACAGTGTTTTCTTGGCGATTAACTTAGAAGTGAACTTGGCATACTGTGCAGCCGCAGAGATTGCATTCCATTAACATTAACATGCAGACGCTGAGCAGGCTGCAGAGGGACCTGGGGGAGCCGGCCCTCCCTGACTGACCCCGCCTTCACGCTGATCCCCAGGACCTTTCCTGAGGGCCCCCAGTCCACGTCCCCCCATGGTGTCCCACTCGAGGGCCTGGGGTCTGACCGCCGGCCATGTGGCCTTGCCATGGGCTGGCCGGAACTGCCCAGCGCTCGCAGATGGTCAGGGAGTCAGGGTGCCAGATGCTGGTCAGAGATGTGGTTTCCCTGAAGATCTTGCAGATGA